CGCACGCACGCACGCACACGCACGTACACGCACACGCACACACAAAATATTATAGATGTACATATCTATTATATGTATTCAAAATAAAATACTGTTATTTGTTAAAAATGTAACAGAATGTAAAAACAGCATTATTTTCAATATAAAAAAAATTTTAGTCTTTTAGACTAACTATATTGTCCGTTACATTATATTATCTTAAATTATCAATATATGGAATGATTCATGCTAGAAAACGAAGCAAAGCTTTTTTTATTATTTCATGGCGTTTCATAATACTGAATTTAGAAATGTCCTATCCGAATTCTAATAGTAGTAAATTCAATAGTAGTAAATTTTATTTTTACGAAATTTTTGTAGACAATTCGATATAGCATTATGTTCGAAGATTTATAATTTTAACCAAATTTATTATATAAGAATATTTGTGCTTTAATAACCTCTTCAAAATATTGTGAGAAAACATAATTATAACACAAATTTGCTGTTAAATTAAAAATACAAACTCAGAAAGATATAAAGCTATACTAGTATACTTGTAAGTAATATATCTTAATAAACTATAATAAATTATTAATTAAAAATTTATATTATAATGTATGGTGTCTCATGTTTTTGCATTATTCAAATACTTCTGCATGAATACTTCTGAATATACACTCGTAAATCGATTAATGAATATATGTGTAAGAAAAATTCGTAAGCATCACATTAAATATCTCACTTCGCTTCACTGTAAAAGCAATAACATATTTAGCACATTTGGTAATTCTAAAATTTGTTATTTATATATATAGCAATATACATAACAAAGACAATCAACGAGAATACATTAGTTGTCAAACTAATGTATCAATTAAAAACTATTCGAAAACAACTACTGTGTCATAACAAGTCATAGAGAGTTTTACAAAGTAAAGTCACACTTAATATTTTACATATTCATAAACTATATCTATCAGGTGGTAACATAATTCATAAAACTTATCATTTCGTTCCATGCGCTCCTATGATACCGAGTTTATTATGCTACGTATAAATGTCGATTTACCTAATGTTCAGTACATACAAAGTTACTTTTCAAAACGAGCAAAAACAACGTTTCGTCCCGTGTAACTCGATGCAAAGCGATTTGCTCAATTATATAAACGATATAAAATGATTGATTTTTATAGAATTTGCAACATTATTGTATCGTTTTTCCGTTATCACAGATTGTTTTGGTGGTAGGCCTATTTGTGATATTATGTTCTAAGAAGGCCTACAATGGACTAGAGCATCTTAGCAGAAACTGTTGGGATTCTGCGCTAAACTGTTTAAACTGCCATCAAGTTTCTAGCGTCGGGAAAAGTCTTGTTAATACGAAATAGGCCACGTCGTAATTATTCCAATATGCCGTATGTGCTGTTACAGTATACAAATAATTCCTTCCTAAACCAACCGCACGTAGCACATAATCCAATCGTTGCGCTAATTCTAATGATGCAAAAAAATATTTGTAAATAATTTATTATACAGAGAATGTTTTGGTATATTATGATACTATATATGTAACTACCTTGACCTGGACGGATTGGTGGATTTGAGTCTGGTGTCGGCGAAGATGGACCTTCTCTAACGTTCCAACCACCTCGTACTAAGTCCCAAAGGCTCCAGCCCTTCTCTGCATTACGGTTAGGTGGACTATCCACTGGACTATCGTCTTTATCGTCATTCTCTATATATTAACATATGTAACATATTGTTTTAAATACTCTTAAGTTAAGATTTTTAACTTAAAATTTACGATATTTTCTTATAAAAAATCAATAACTTTTTGAAGAGTTAAGACGATGCTGGAAAGTCGGCCGAATTTGCACGAGATCAATAAAACTAGACTTTTCAATTTCAGTGGTATCTTTAAGACTCCTGCCTAGTCACGGCGGCCATACTGGAATCGTGGGATGTGTGAAGTTGGCATCCCCAAGTTTCGAAATCGTAGTTCTGATCAGAGTTCTGGATTACTCAAACGAAAAGGAAGAGTTCCTGATAGTTTTTAGAAATAGTTCTATTCATTATAATAATAAAAACACTTTTTGAAAAACGGGGGTGCCAAGGGGGTTCACCCAACATTAGCACCGAATAGTTTTGATAATTTTTTTAATGTCTTTTGTCGAGTACTAGAGTTCCTGATATAAAAAAAATCCTTTTTTAATTTTTTCAAAAAAATAAAAAATTAAAAAGAATTTATATCCATCCCAAATAGTTCTGAATAATTCATTTGATGTCTTTTATCGAGTACTAGAGTTCCTGATGGATAAAAAATATCAAATCTTTGTAATTATTTTAAATTGCCGTTGAAAGTCACGAAATGATCGAAACAATTTCTCACTCGAATAACTGTCTCTTATACACATCTCTGAGCGGGCTGGCAAGGCAGACCGATCTC